TTTAAAAATATTTAAATTTAATTTATAAATAATTATGATAAATAAAAATTACATTTGATAAAAAAAATTAAAAATTTCTATAAAAAAATCTCTCTTTAAAGAAAAATCCTTCAAAAAATATTTTTGCACAAGAGAAAAGTTAATATTTAATATATAAAAATTGATTATATATTAAAATTTATAATAAATAATGTCTATTAAATTTTACTATATATTAATATCAATTTAGAAATTACATTTAAAAATTATATTAAATTTTATATACCATGTTATATAATAAATCTTATGATAGAGATATTAAAATAATTAATTATCATACCAATCAAATATTTTTAATTTGATATTAGAATAAAGCTAAAATTACAATAATTATTCTGTTGCTAAAAGTTTTTATAAATAAAAATTTGAATATTATATTCATTATTTATTAATTAAATATTTGTACTCAAAAAATTAAAACAATTTTTTTTATTATATGTTACTAGCGTACCAAAAAAGACATTCGTATTTTTGTGAATTAATTTTTAAAAATAAAAAAATAAAAAAAATATAATAGTAAATAATATATAATAGTAAATAATTATTAAAAAATAATGAAATTTATAGAGTCAAATTTACAAAAGAAATTTTTTTATAATTTAAAAAAAAGTAGGTATAAATGTAACATTTTCAAAGAATACGAGACACCAATGGAGCAATTTTCAAATTAAAATAAACAAACACTTCTTAAAAGTTTAATTAAAAAATAATAATAATAAACAATACACTGTCATTGGAAGTAGGTTGTGCATACCCACTACTCATTCGTGCGCGCAGCCTCCTCCGACTGCACCTTCCGTGATTCTCTTGTTTTTATCTCTCTCTTCTGTGTTTTAGGATTTTCAGAGTTCTTATTATTACTTATATGTCAACTTATGGGTATGCATTTTCAATTTCAATTTTTTTGGTAATTTTTTCAATTTCAATTTACTACTTCTTTTTGTTTTCTGTTATTTATTTATTTATTTTATAAATATGTATATAAGTATAATTTTGCATTTTCAGGGAGATCTTACAATCTGTGTTATAATCCTATGGTTGATGATCTTCCACCCCAATCCCAGTCCTAGGTAGGATTTCAATTTTGACTATATTTGTTGTTTTCTTTTTTTAATGCATATAATCTAATTTGCTTGATGCTTAATGGTTGAAGACCAGCTATCACATTAGTAAGGTGGTTTAGGGTTTATGAAGTTACACTACTCAACATTTACTTGCATCCACCAATTTTTCATGAATGAATAAATTGAAGTTCAGGATATCTTGAAGTTTAGAATAAATTGATGCTGAATTAAATTTAGTATACATTGGATGTTCCTTTGTACATGGTTTAGATGTTCTCGTAGAAGTTGACTCTTATTTAGTAAGAAATGAACGAAATTTTTTCTCCTTCTGCCAGTATACTCCTGCTGTGATGCTATTGTACGAGGCTATGAATGCTTGTCTTCTGACTTATCAAATATGTGATATTAAAAAATATTAATGTGTGTGCAGTTTCTTTAAATAATCAATATCTGGAAATATACAACCTGAGGACATGGAAAATCAGTCAAAACAAAACCAGCAAGGAACAAGTTCTGCATCATCCATCCAGAAAAGAGAGGAAGATCAAGCAGCCAGCACTGCTATTAGATGGAAAGATTCATTAGAAAAAAAATATCTAGAAGTCAAAGAGCATGCAGAAACATACCCTTATGTTTGGGCTTCATATATTGTTGTATATGGTGGGTTTGGTCTCTGGACTGCCTATAGATGGAGAAAGCTTCGCAAGACCGAAGACAGAGTAAGATCTCTTCAAGAAAGACTACGTAAGCTTGTAGAAGCTGAAGAATCTTCTAGTTCTACCAAAGTGGTTGAAAAGGGTTCTACATATTCTGATAAGCCTTCCAAGTAGGTTACTGTAAGAATAATCCTTCTCTTGGCCAGTTTGTTTAGTTTACTTCTATCAATATCACTTCTCTTACCATTGTTGTCGCCTCGGGCGTTATATAATTTATTTATTTTTATCCACAAATCAACTGATTCATTTTGGAATTCCTCAAAAATATGTTGAACTTTGTAGAAATTGTTAAAAATTATATCTGATATTTATCTTCCAAAAGTTGTGACGATATTATTTGATTGGTTACTGTTACAGATCTTCAGTTTCCATATTGATTAGAGATGGACCAATGCATTTTTTTTTTGTTAATTTTCGTATATTGCTTATGTTCTATACATTTGAGCTACATTTCAGATTCATGCATTATCAGTTGAAAATTTTGTTGTATCTTCTGTTTTGCTGAGTTTTCACATAATTGTATAAACTTACCTAATAATAAATTACTTATATTATCGATGTAACTTTACTACCAGTGTTTTAATGTGTCTTACAATAGGTCTCAGGGGTCCTAAATCGCATAATGATTGTAACAAAAATACTAATCATCTCTGTTAATTTGTGTGGCTTATTTTTAACCTTTTGGCTGAATAATGCAGCTTCAGAAATTTACTGCTAGCTTATTTTGAACTTGAATGTAATTGTAAGTAGCAGAGGGTGACCCTCAGATTTATATATTTATTTTTGTACTACTATATAAAAAGTAATAATTTTCCCGGAGCCCCTCTCCTTCACACCTTGTAACTCCCAAGTAATATACTCTGATAAGTTCTTCGATATATGATCTGAAGGATGGGGAGACTTGGCTCCTCTCTCCAGAGGAAACCATCTTAGCACAGAAAAAACATAAACAATGACCGGAAAATAACAATGGCGATTCTGCAAAGAACAAATCCAACCCTGTCCCATGTCCTTACAACATGTTTGGATTGTGGTAGTGTGTAGCTCGGATGCACGTCACTCAAAGCAACTAATAGTTGCTTCTGAGATATTTTTTTATGTGAATCTTGCAAAATCGTGGATGGTGGATGTTGAACCAAACACGCCCTACTCCTCTGTCCCTACATGTAACAAACATCTCTTCGGCTATAACCTTATCTCTCTTTCGCCCTTGACACATTCTTTGCTGTAGTCATTTTCCGATATTCTTCTCTCTTGTTATGTAGCCCATCATCACACTTCAGCCTATTCATATTTTCAGTATACACGTGTCACAGGCCTATCAATGGAAAACTCACCTAGCACATGCCACATTGCTCTCAAGGTGAAAGTGAAAAAATTGTTGAAGAATAGTGTCAAAATGTTCCCGAGAGTTATCATGAGCTGGGAGATTGTCCCCTTTAGAGCTTGTTTGGTTCCCTGTCATAGATGTGATTTTTCATGTTTACTTGGAAGCTAGTAATTATAGCTTTCCCACGTTTTATAGCACAATTGACATGATTTCTGGTTTTCTAAGGGGTAATCAATTTCTCTATGGCTTCATTTGAAAAGCTTCCTAGCCAGCATACACCTGTTAACATTGAATGGTTGCACTAATGGCTCTCTTAAGTTGAGACAGTGGAAAATAGGATTGAGTGTGAGAAAATGAAGGTAAAACCAATTTATAAGCCACTTGTTCCACCCTACTTTCAACTGCAAAAGGGCCATAAAATGGTGAAGGAACCTTTCACTGACCTTCATAGTCAGTGAGAGCATCTAGTAAGGCTGAAGCTTCAAATACACCAATTCTTTAGGTTGAAATTCAACCTCCCTCCTAAGTTAATTAGCCAGGTTTTCCAATTTTCTGTTGAGCCTGACTTATGTTAATCTTTAATTCATACTAACTATCATCCCTTAAGAACCAATAACTTATTACTGCTCAATAACAGTGTCACCTTGGTTATTATCACTGGAGGTCTCTCCCATACAAAGCCTTGAAGAGTGACATTTGCATTGAAGCCTTATGGTAGTGTTGAAGTAGAATTCAGCCCAAGGAACACACTTAACTCATTTGTGGGTGAGCATTGACAAAGCACCTTAAGATTGTTTCAATAGTTTGATTTGTCACTCAGTTTGACCATTTGTTTTTGGGTGATAAGTTGAAATAATCCGCAGTTTAGTTCCTGCTTGCTTGATAACCCCCAAAATTGAACAACAAAATTTCTCTTTGATTTGATACAACATAAATAGGGAAACAAACAGGTCCTTATTAAGTTGATTCATAGAGGTATTGATTTAAGATAACAAAGCTATTGGTTTGCTTAACGAAAAGGGCAATTAAATCCAAGTCATTATTGTGTTTAGCATGGCGAAAGGAAGCCAATGGCTTCTAGGATCTAGAAGCTTCAACTTATTCTGCAGTTTGGAGCTAGTAACATAAATTAAGTTGGCTAGACAGATAAACATACAATTTGTAAGGATAGGCTAGGAAGGAGAGTCTCCCCTCCCCCCCCCCCCCCCCCCAAAAAAAATATTTGGCATGAGAGAAACATGAAATTAAAATAACATTTTGAGGAGTGAACGTTGAAGGTAAAATATAAACAATGTAAAAATTTTCAAATTTTGACCAGTTTCATTTTGAAGACTTTGAATTTTATTTCATATAATCCCTTTTCTCGTTTTTAGCATACACCAAATTATAGCAATGCTCATCAAATGTGAGACAAATTTTTTTAAGTTAGAGAAAACATTGAAAGAGTTGGATAGATAAGGACAGAATGGATAAAAATGTGAGTTAATCACCTATACACTGTCAATGTAAAATTTTTTTACACTGGTAACCAATTATATTTTTTAATTATGTTATGTTATTGTTAAAAGTAAATGTGTTTATAGTGACATGGCACAATTAAAAGATATAATTGGTTGTCAGTGTAAAAAAATTTTACTTTATCGGTGTATAAGTGATTAACTCTAAAAATGCATTTAAAATGAAAGAATGTTTAATATATTATCATACCACAATTTATTATTACATGTAAATTGTGGAAGGTAAATATCACAAAAACGTTGTTAATGGGGCAGAGTGAGAATTCACCAAGTCACAGCGTGAGTGACAACGATTGCGTGTTAATATATTTGTTTGGTGTTGGAGAACGATGTCTCTCTCGTACAAAACCACGTGACAAATATCCCAATTGAATTGACAGATCCTAAGGTATTCTGAAAATAAAACGTATATGCGAGATTCATTTCTACTATCCTTTGTTTTCTTTTGAGTTTTGATTTTCTGGTTTTTATCATAAATATTTTAACGTAATTGATATAACCCATATGTGACAGAAATTTTTGTCCTCGTAACAAAACTACAAAGAATTTATAACGTGATTATCCGATAAGTAGCACAGCAATGTTTACTATGACATCATAGTCAAAACTCAACAAGATCAAGGGAAAAAGGCTTTAGAATGTGTCCAACTTCTTTTTTGTTTTCTGCTTTTCGTTGATAGAGGTGGTATAGCATAGTGAGTTTGGAGATATTTTGGAGGGGTTTCTGTTTTTTTTTTTAATGATTTGGTTAATTTTCATCTCTCAGTAGAAATGAATTATTTTGTTGAATGCAACAATTTTCCTACTTCGTCAAAGTCACTGAACAATAACTAACCTCTTTTCGTAACAAGTTTTTCTTAAATCCATTTATAATTGGCCCAAAAAAATATAAATTTTCATGCATTGTAAAGATTTCCATACAACATTTTTTTTTTAAAAAAATATATCGTATATAATGTAGATTGTTTTGTATTATGTGAAGATATGTATTTTTCAAGAGGAGTAAAATATAATTTTATTTATTAGCTATATATATATATATAGAGAGAGAGAGAGAGAAATTGTATTATAAAAATTAAGATATTAATAACATATATTCTAAGAACTAGGAAATAAATATTAAACATTCAAAATAAATTAAATTTAAATATTTGAAACATAAATAATATATTTTACATAAAAATATTTTTTTTAAAAATTAAAGATATCAAGACATTCCCAACAATAGAATGATATGCGATTGAATAATATAAAAATATATTTTAATTAAATTCTTGAGCGAAACAACAAGCAATGTTACATGGTTAGAGTGTGAATTAGAGATAGATGAGTGAAGAGAGAACAAATTTTTCATTCATGATGCTTCCTAATTTTTAAACTAAAAATGAAATGATAGATTAAATTTAATGCATTAATCTTTAATTTTATAATAAACATTATATAACTTGATTGTATTAAAAAATTATATATATATATATATATATATATATATATATATATATATATATAGA